AGTTTTCTAGGTACATGTGATAAAGCCTGATATTGAATGCTCTCTATTTTAGTGCAGGTTGAGATGTAATGTTTTGTGAGGCATTTAGAACTGAATAGCAATATGATTCAGAACTTGCAAATATATGGATCATGGTTCTTGGTAAGGAATTTCTAGTTTACATCCATCACCACACATAGTTACAAATGGATTCATTCTGAAATGTGTATCATCCATGAAACCATTGCTATAGTCAAGATAATAAACAAATCTACCACCCTCAAAGCCTTTGTAAACCTTCCCAACCCTCCCTGCCTCCTCCTACTCTGTCTCCAGGCAATGACTGATCAACTTTGTGTTCAAAGAAATTAGTCTGCACTTTCTAGAACTGTATGCATATAAATGTAATCAAACAGTTCACACTCTAATTTCTTCCTCTCAGCATAACTGAAATTCATCCATGTTGCTGCATATCAGTTCAATCCAATATACAGTTGAGTAGTATTCCATTATATGGATATATCATAATTTACTTATCCTCTGCTGTCAACAGACACTGGGGTTGTCCCAGTTCTGGGCTACTATGAATAAAGTGCTGTGAGCATTCCTGTGAAAGTCTCTGGGTAAACAGCTAGGTGTCGCTAAGTAGAATGGTTGTCTGCTTGTATGTTTGACTTTGAATGAACTGCCAGGCTGTCTTCCAGTTTTTAAAACTATTTTACTTTCCCACTAGTAATGTAATGACAGTTTCAATGATTCCACGTCGCTGCCACCCTTATTTTCAGTCTTTTGAATTTTAGCCATTCCCTCTAAATCCTTTTTTAGCCAAATGTCACAAATTTTGATGTGTTCTATATTCGTTATTATTCAGGTAAATACATTTGAAGTTCCACTTGAAATTTATTCCTTGTCTCATGTAAATATGTATTGCTTAATTTCCAAACATTTTCCAGATAGTTGTTATTAGGTTTTTAATAATTCAGTTGTGGTCTGAGAATCTATTTTGTGTGACTGGATATTTCTAAATGTATTGAGAATACAGTTTTATTTCCCAACATATGGTCTATCCTGGGGTGAGTATTCCACATGCACCTAAAAGAATAGGTATTCTGCTCCTGTTGGGTGGAGTTTTCTATAACTGTCAATTAGGTCTCCTTGGTAGGGCTGTATTCTCTGTCTTTACTGATTTGCTATCCATTTACTGAGAATTGTTGAAGTCTCCCGAGTATAATTTTTTTTCTTTTTCTTCTCAGTTGTTAGTTTTGTTTCCTATGTTTTAAAGTTGTTATTATGTACAGTCACACTTGTTATGTGGGCTTAAGGAGCTGGCTACTTTATAATTATGAAACAACCTTCTAATCCTGGTAATATCCCTTGTTTTGAAATCTATTTTGATATTATCAGAGCCACTACAGCTTTCTTTGGATTAGTGTTTCCATAATATTCTCTTGTCTATCCTTTTACTTTTGATCTATCATGTATTTATTTATATATATATATATATATATATACACACACACACACACACACACATACATATATATATGAGTTTCTGATAGTGTGTAGTATTGTCTTCCTCTTTTTTTTAAAGACTGCTTGACAATCCTTTTAAATTGTAATCATTAAATAATTTATAATTGATGTAATTATATCAGTGGTTCTAAAACTCTAACATGTATGATTCACTTGGAAAGCTTGTTAAACCATACTCTCCTGGGCCCCATCCCCAACATTTTTGGGTGGGGCCCATGATGCCATAATTCTACCAAGCTCACAGGTCTTTATAATGCTGGTCTAATAACCACTTGTCTGTGTATTTACATTTGAATGGATCATTGGTGCATTGTTTTCCATCTGCCTCTGTTGCTTGTTTCCTTTTCCCACTTTCTTGCCTTGTCTTAAAATATTTCTTTTTTTGCATTTCCACTTTGACTTTTAAATGATTATTCTAGGATTTCTACTATGTATGTTGTTGATCACAGTCTATCTTCAAATAATGTTGAATAACCTAATATATAAGAATATCAAAAAGTGTATTTACCATTCCCCCTCTTATCCTTTGTGTTGTTTTTGATCATATATTGCACTTCTGCTTATATTATAGATCCTACAATGCACTGTTATTTCTGCTTTACACATTTAATCCTCTTTTAAAGAAATTTTAAAAATTCACTCTTTCATCACTTCTCGTCCAAAATTCTTATACCTGGCAGACATAACCTAAGGGGAGCTCCCAGAACTGCTTTTTTTCTATTATTTTATACCAAGAGGATATACAGTTTCATTGGAATTCATCCATGCCCATTCACTTATATACTATCAATGGCTACTTTCCACTATAACAGCAGAACTTAATGGAGCAAAAAATATTTATCACGTGGCTCTTTATTAAAAAGTTTGCTGATCCTCAGTTTATCATACTAGAAGAATTATCAGTAGGAGAAAACTTGGTCTGCAAAATCGAAAACTAGAAGGAAGAAAGAGAATGAAGTGAAATATGAAATTAAAAGGTAGAAATATGTTTAATGTAAAAATAACAAAATTTATGAATGACTCAACAGCTGAAAGACACTGGATGTTTTTACAGTTTTGAAATTATATTGCCTAGAGACACAAACATAAAGAAATGTTTTTTAAAAATTAGAAAATATATACTGAGAAATATGAATGAAAAAGAAAGATGGAAGAACAATCAATATGGAACATAATTGAATTTTTTCTTTTTGTTTGTTTATTTTGTGGGGAGTAATTAGGTTTACTTATTTGATGGAGGTTATGGGGAATGAACCCAAGACCTCATGAATGCTAGGCATGCACTTTACCACTCTCCCTCTTCTTTTTCCTTCTAAAGAGACTTTTTTTAGAGCTGTTTGAGGTTCAAAATTGAGAAAAAAATACAGTTCCCATATACTCTCTGCTTTGGCACTGACACAGCCTCCTGTGGTATCAACATTCCGCACCAAAGTGGTGCATCTGTTACAACTGATGAAACTACACTGATGTGTTATTATCACCCAAAGTCCACAGTTTACATGACGGTTCACTGTTGGCATTCTGTGTGCTGGATAAATATATGATATGTACCCACCATTATGGTGTCATACAAAATCATTTCACTGCCCTAAAACTCCTCTATGCTTCTCCTATTCATCCTTTTCTTTCCAATCCTCTGGTAACCACTGATCTTTTGATCATCTCCCTAGTTTTGCCTTTTACAGAATGAGAAATACTTGGAATCATATAGTACAGAGCCTTTTCAGGTTGACTTCTTTCATTTAGTAAATGCAGTTAAGGTTCCTCCATGTCTTTTCATGGTTTGATAGCTCATTTCTTTATAGCACTGAATAATATTCCATTGTCTGGGTGTACCACAGTTTATCCATTCAACTACTGTAGGACATCTTGGTTGTTACTAGGTTTTGGCAATTATGAAAAAGCTGCTATAAACATTTGTGTGAAAACTTTGGGTAGTAATGTAGGCTTGTACAACATAACAAAATGGATAAATTTCCATACCTTTCGGTCTACTGATGTCCTGTGCCCTGTCTCCCAATGTTTGTTTGTCTCTTATTAATGATCTTATCATACTGTACATCCTGTTTTTTAATCTTATTTTTCTATTGAGAGTGTATCTGGAATATTATCCATGTCTTTAAATGTGTTTTCGTACTTAGCACTTAGAGGCTGCTTTGTATTCTGTTGCAGGTATATTCGGTATTTAACTAATCAGCTTGGTTGGACTCAAAACACAGAACCAGGGCTAAGCACTTCCTTCTATGTTATGTTCATTTTCCATATATTGACCATCTTCAGCTGACCCTGAGGCCATAAAAGAACCTCTAGTTTGGATGATGTGGTCTCTTGAATGGTGGGAGTGAAGGCAGGTGGATCTACTCATGGAAAGACTGTGCAGTCCCATCTCAGGTCTAAATTAGCCTCCCCAGCATGGGAGCTTGTCCAGGAAATCTCCTGCTCCTGTGTTTGGATCTCGTTTCAATGCAGAAGTGGCTTATGCTACAACTACTTTTGCGTAGCAGGGTGTCCTGGGATTTTGGGGAGAGCTTAGATCCATCTTCTATATTTCCTTAAATTGTGTGTGTTAATTTTGGAAGAAGAAATGGAAGAACAAAAAGATTTTACTAAATTAAGTCATATATGGGGACACTGAAACCTTTTTTCCTCTCTCAGTTCTGGATTTGCAGGAGTCTGAATTATTCTCAATGGAGGAAGACCGAGGAGAACTGATCAGGTCTTACCTTCTAAAACCATGACCTGTGTAAGTTGATTATTCCTGTCTCCTTGCAGTATTATGATTTATGTGGATTTTTTCATTAATTAATCTAAAGCTTCCTACTCTTAAAAGGGTCTCATTCAATTATCTACTCCCCACTTTGTCCTAAAATCAGAAAAAATGACAGCAAATAGCTCAAGTTTCCTCCTTATGAGTGTTTGCTATCCAATGTTTGTGTATTTATTTTCCAGTGTTCTCAGTCCATTTATGTGCTTACTCTTCAAAGTCTATAATGGAGCAGTAAAGGAGTGAACTCCCATGAGGGAAGTATTTGAGTTTCCTTGATAGGTTTGAGGTTTGATGAATTAGAGATGTTAGTCCTATTTAATTACCATTGGTAAACTCTGAAATTCTCCACAGACCCAAGTTTTCCAGACAGATTAAGATATAAATTGGTATCAGTTGGTTTCAGTCTTAGTATGTGATGAGATCTCATATTCTTTGAGAATTTTAGACTGGTTAGAAACATTTATGTAATGCATCTTACCAAGGAATTATGAAGAGGAACATGTGGTTGAATGTGATCTCTTAAATCTGACTGACAGCTATTTGATTATGACTCATCCTACATTATACATTTAGGAATAAGAAAAATGTTGAGTGAGTGATGGAAGATGGCAATGAATGAGAATATTATCCTAAGGGATAAATGCACTGATTTCTAGAATTGATGAAGACTTTCAGAATTTTGTGTGTTTAAAACCAAGCGTGTAAATGTGAAGGATGGATTAAGTGTGAGATATCCAAAATAAAATGGATTGTTATGTAGGCAAAATTTGTCAAAACAAAGAAAAAATGCTTATAGTATGCCCTGACAAAGGATGAATTTGAGGCTTGTAGAAATACTTTTTTTCAAAAACTTTTTTTAATATGGAAATTTTTATATTCAAACTGGGAGAGTGGGAGGGAAATCTCATCTTTCTTTTTTAAACTCTAAAGGGAAAATAATTTAGAACCTCACATTTATTGAGAATTAATATATTGTGCAACTAGCTGACTATGTGGTTACATCTTATATTTTATTGAATAGGGAAAGTTTGATTTTATCCAGTCCCCCTGCAGGTCCGAGTTACTGTGATAGCCTACAAGCTACAGAAAGATTTGTCTGTAGCAATAGGATTCTTCAGGAATATGTAGACAATCTCCTTTCATCTTCTAGCCCACTTGTACTGTATCACTCCCTTCCTCTAAGGCACTCCTATGATCTCCTGTCTTTCTGTTTTGAAAATGTTTTTTAAATTTCATACTACCTGGATTTGAAGTTTCAGGAATTAATGACATTCAGGGATGTGGCCGTAGACTTCTCTCGGCAGGAGTGGGAACCTGGAGCCTATTCAGAGGGACTTGTACAGGGATGTTATGTTGGAGAACTATAGAAACTTGGTGACACTGGGTAAGTTTATTTGCCACAAGAAATTTAGAATGTTCTCTGTGGTGTGTTAATTTCAACACAGTGAATTTCAAAGCTGTCTTTTAAGACATGAGCTGAATTCTTTTTCTTATTCCCAAAGGAAGCTTTGAGGTGTGTCAGTTTGGCAATGCCCCTGTCATTAACCATCATCATCTTCTTTTTAGTGACATTCACATGTCTTGTGACTGTAGCTCTTCTTGAAATTGCCTCCCCTTCTTAATGGCCAAGGGGCTGTGTCATCCTCTGATCCATCTGCAGGGACAACAGTTAGATGTAGATTCATGATTGGCCATAGCAGAAGAGTCTCTATGACTTACATAGTGGTAGATTTGATGAACAGTATTCATTTAAAACTGGAGAGCCCGCATTTCATTTCCTGCAACCAATTTTATATGATTTGTGTTTGAAAGTTCCAGTTCATGAACATTGCACTTATGATTGAATTAATATTCTGTAAATGAATCGGAATGCTTCTTGTCTTCCTCTTACAGAAATGGAATCATTATAATTAGTATTAAGTCCCAGAACTCTTCCTAGGGGGTGTATCTATACATCTAATCATCAATCATATGATAATAACATTGTCATATGCATTTTACTTGCCAACATTGTGGAACAGTGTGTTGAAATGACTTGCTTAAAGTCGTGGGGTTGATAGGTATTAGAGGAAGAATTTGTGCTCAGACCCTCTGGTTCCAGAGTGTTCTCAAACACTGTTAACCTTTTTGGTCACTTTGTTAAACTCTCTTAAGAGGCAGAGTCTACCTGAGTTTAAAATAAAAGTTTCACCAGACCTGCCTGGTTTCTTAAATCATCTCATCTTTCTATTATCTGAAGTCTTTATTGATAACAGTTAACCTTTATTTCATTACAAATTTAACCAAAGCTAAAGATTTTGTTTTCATTTTTATGCCATGTGGCATTTTTTTTTCTTCTAAGCAGTACATTCCACTTCTAAGCCAGATGTGGCTGACTTATCGGAGCAAGGAAAAGAGCCTTGGATGACTTTGAGGGAAGGAACACAAAGCCAGTACACAAGTAAGGAAGGCGAGGAAGGAAAAAGGAAGCCATCAGGGCTGGTAGCAAGCTGTGTGGTGAGGGAGAGGAGATAATGTCTCTGTGTTGTTTGTAAAGTGCCCCACTCCCACCCCTGCGCTAGGCACCAGGACTTGTGGAGCACTGGCTTGTGACCTGGGGAGGAAATAAAGACCTCAGCGTGAGCTATAGAAGAAACTTAAACATTACTCCATTTAGAAATCACCTTATTTCTCTTATATCTCAAACCCATTCTAAGTGATGGGGAGTCTCATTTTTCATTAGTACAATATTTAATCTGTATGTTGTATTCAACTGCTCTCCAGTTCCCCTTTTGTGTGAACACACACACACACATCAATGCAATGATAGTGAGCAAGACTTATAAGGTCCTTGCTTTCATGGAATTTACATCTTACTAGAGTGAGCAGGAATACAAATAGATAAATAATGTTAGGCTGTAGAATGTAAAGAGAGGTTGGCCCACTTACAGTGGTTGTGGATGCCTTTTCTGAGGTGGTAATGTTTGAGAAGAGACATAACATAAGGGCCCAGGCCATGTGTCTGTCTGGGAGGAACACTGCAAGCTGAATGAACGAACAGATTGGAAGGCTCAGGAGATGGCTGGGGCAGTGGTGGAAAGGGAAGTGGAGCCTGGAGCAGGGGCACTGAAGAGAGCTTTGTGAGTTCAGGAATCACCAGTGTAGACCAGAATAGAGGTCCTTAGGGGAGAGTAATAAGAAATGAAGTCACACTGTTAGGAGGAATCAGATCATATTAAGTTTTATTGTATTTGAATTGTTCAGGATAATAAGTATTTGAATCAATCATGTAATCTGTTTTTCTAATTTTTAATTTTCTAAACCATTATTAAAAAATAATAGATACTGAGAATCACATAAAACAAAAGTTTAGCATAATGAGTTGTGTAGGGCAGACATCACTACACTAAAGTCAGGCGATAACATTTTTAAAAAACTAATTATTTTGAAATAATTTCAGAGTCACAGAAAGGTTGTAATAGTCATACAAATGATTCTTGTATACCTTTCAGCCAGTCTTTCCAAATGAGGAAAGGAGCTTTTCTAGTCAACCTGAGGCCCTCCACATGTCTCTACTTAGTCACAATCTTTTACCTCCTGCAAGTGTAACTGCTCTTCTGATTTTAATGGGAATAAGTTCCTTCCCTTCTTTCTCCCTCCCATTCCTTTATGTCTTTTAAGTCTTTTTTAATCTCTACATTTCCTCAACTCTTTTTATTCCTAACCATCTAATTGCTGAAGAAACAGTATCTTCCATTCTGTTCTTTGCTGATGCCATTCTAAGATTTACTCAAGCACATTCTCTGACCTCTCTGTATCCTCTAAATAAGTTTTGGGATCTAGAAGCTTAATGAGATTCATATTCTTTTTTTTTTTCATTTTTGCAAGATGACATCCTGGGCAGTGTTGCACACATGATATGTCAGCACTACTGAGTGCTGGCTCCCCACATACCAGACAGAACTGAGCTTACTGCTCACTTACCACCTCTGCTTTGGTAGTGTCTCATAGGGGAAGGGCAAGGTTGGATGTTACTGGCAATCGGAAGTTTGGTTTTAAGGCCAGTCTTTCAGTGTGGAGACTGGATTAGGAATTGGGTGAAGATCAAAATACAACAGTGGAAAATTAGTGGAAATGGCTAGGTAAGAATTTTGACTAGAGAGTCAAAGAATCCTAGAACACAAACTCTGTTGTTTTCCACTGAAGAGTTGATAGATCTTTCAGGAACTTCCTGTAATGAACAGTCAAGCCATTTGCCTGCACAAGAAACTCCAGGAAGGTAAAATTGTGCTAATGAAGGCAGTGGGAGAGTAATGTCACATGAAGGTAGACAGGCAGGTACATTCAGGGATTAACTGTCCCAGTTCTCGGTGTCCAGGCTGAGTCGGGCAGTAGCTGGTGTAAGTTCTTAGCACATGCTGTCTGGTTGTCTTTCTGGGATTTTAGCTGGCATTGATTCTGGGTGCCTAGGTACAGTAATTCATTAGACACTTCAAAATGATCATATTTTCATTCCAACATTCATTTTCACTTGTTGGTAGAAATAATGTACAATTTTTACATCATCTACTACTTGATAATATACTGAGAGTTTTTATGATAACAGCTAAATAAATACTGGATTCTTTCCCTTTATCTTTAGAACAGCTAAACAGTTGTGTTATCTTAGCATCCTTCCCAGGTGACCAGACAGTTATTTTATTGTCATTATACATTTATAGATTTAGGCATATTGATTGTATCTCTGTCCATTGTCATTATAATCTTGATTATTGCTCAAATTTCTGCTTCCTGGGTTACTGGACCTCGTAATGTTGCCCTTCAAGTCCTTTAGATCCTATTAGTCTTTAATAGCTTATTTACTGTCTGTTATGACAAGATGTTTGAGGTCTACCTTGTATATTTTTTGTCCCAAGCTTTTTTTTTTGTATATATATATATATATTTATTGAAGTATAGTCAGTTTACAATGTTGTGTCAATTTCTGGCATACAGCACAATGCTTCAGTCATACATGAACATACATATATTCGTTTTCATATTTTTTTCACCATAAGTTACTACAAGATACTGAATATAGTTCCTTATGCTATACAGTATGAACTTGTTGTCCCAAGTTATGGCTTTTAATGAGCCATAAGTCTGAGAATTTTTGGTTTCATTTAGTGGAAAGTGATCTTTCAAGAAAGACCACAATCTGCATGCTGGAGGCACCCACTTTTTCTGTTCTTGTGTCAAATCTGGAATGCCATTTTGTGTGCAGTCATGTTTCTCTAGTCTTTTCAAATCTATGGCAATTTCATGGACTTTCATGTCTTTCCTGTCCTTGATACTTTTTAAGAGTACAGTTATTACATAGACTATTCCTCAGTTTGGATTGGTCTGATACCTTGCTCAAAAGTAGATGAGATTGATCACTTTTGGTAACTATTCCACAGAAGAGATGGTATGTCTTTCTCAGGGCATTCTATCAGAGGGTCGGATTGTGGACATATATTATTACTGGAGCTATTAACCTTGATCATTTGGTTAAGGTGCTTTCTGCCAGGCTTCTCTACTGTAAAGGGACTTATTTTTCCTTTATAATTGATAAATATCTTGGGGGAGATACTTTGAGATAATGCAGATAACCTATTTCTCCTGCAGTTTTCACCCATTGATTTTTAGCATCCATCAGTGGATTTCGCTTGGACTAATTCTTACTGCAATGTTTGCCTGATGGTGATTTTGTCCCTCCTACTACATTTATTAATTGGAATTCTTATGTAAGGAAGAATTCTCTCTTCTCCCTTTTTATTTATTTATTCATTTATTTATCAGTGTGGATTTACAGTTTATTTTATTCCTTAGGTTTTAATCTAATAGTATAAACACTAATTTTTGTTCAGCTTTTGCTTTTGGGAGCTTTTTGGGGTTGGTGCCTGTGGTCTTTGACATGTCCCTATCCTTTAGTGAGCATCTCTTACCTTCTGGCACTGCAGGGTACTCCAGGGTCATCTTATATTTTCTTTGCTCTAGTTCTGGACTCACCTACCTCTCTAAGGTGCCCTAGTTCTTTTTTATTAGAGGATGGCATTTAGAAATCCAAACTTGGGCACTAGGTGTAGTCATTGCTCCTGGGATGTCATGGCTGCCCGGCCTTGTTAGCTGACAGAGCCGGAAAATGTGTATGAATGTGTGCCAATATGGCTTGCCACTTCAGGATATTTTCCTGTTATTTCAAAGCTGGAACACCAAAACATGCTTCACACAAATCTTAAAACTCTAAATCACATGGTTGGACAATTTCAGCCTTCATAGTTTTAAAGAGACTAAAGTCAATTGCATTTCTCATCACTGATACTGAGAGAAAATATTTTCTTCATTTCATTATGTTCAAATTAAATATAAACTAATGCAGTTGCTACACTAGCAGTAATATCTAAACATTTATCCATTTGCAGTGAAAATGACCAAAGACCAACCAGTGAAGATAGTTTTGCCATCATTAAATTTAATTTTTACCAACTCTAACTTAAACTATAAATTTAAAAAATAATTTGAAAAATCATAATAATGATTTAAAAAATTAGCCTTAAAACTTTTATTAAATTTTTTTTACAAACTTTTGGGTTACAGTTACTGGATATTAAATGAATATCCAGAAATCTGTGGCATTTCTATAAACTAACAATGAAATATCAGAAAGAGATTAAGGAAGTAATCCTATTTACCATCACATCAAAAACAATAAAATACCTAGGGATGAACCTACTTAAAGAGGCAAAAGACCTATACTCCAAAAGCTAACTTTTTAAAAACCAGTTCACAAATGGAAATAAGCATTTAGAATCTTTTATTGCAAGTGTGTGTTCAGTGGAGTCAGTGCATGGGGAGTGTTATTGTTCCTGAAACTATTCCAAAAAATAGCAGAAGAAGGAACGCTTCTGAGTTCATTCCACGAGAACACCATCACCCTGATACCAAAACCATACAAAGATACCACATACACAAAAAGAAAATTACAACCCAATATCACTGATAAATATAGACACAACAATCCTCAACAAAACATTAGCAAACTGAATCCAACAATAAGGAAGCAATCCCATTTACCATTGCATCAAAAAGAATAAAATACTTAGGAATAAACCTACTTAAGTAGGTAAAAGACCTGTACTCCAAAAACTTTGAGACGCTGATGAAAGAAATTGAAGAGGACACAAACAGATGGAAAGATATACCATGTTCTTGGATTAGAAGAATATTGTTAAAATGACCACACTACCTAAGGCAATTACAGATTCAGTGCAACCCCTATCAAGTTACCAATGACATTTTCATAGAACTGGAGGACATTTTAAAATTTGAATGGAAAAGACCCCAAATAGCCAAAACAATCTTGGGAAAGAAGAACGGAACTGGAGGAATCATGCTCTGTGACTTCAGACTATATCACAAAACTACAGTAATCAAAGCAGT